AAAAGTATGTTCAGGAACATCTGGTGTTAACTACACTGTTTCACAACAAAGTAAGGACTTTGAATTGACTAGCATTATATTTAATTAAAATGACATAAAGATAATTCCTACAAAAAAATGTTCCTTACTTAAAACTGTCTCTGTATATAATTAGGTTGCTTAGCAACCAATGAATAATTATTATTTTTTTTATAAATTTCTGAATTTCCAAATTTTTACAGGCATACAGGAGATTACAACTTAGTTACAAAATAGCAATTTGTGCTATTATAAAAAATAAAAACAATACCACAAATAATGTGTAACTGAACTGAATAAGGTATTCAGAGAACAGCCTGCCTCACCATTCCTTAATAATATAAATTCAAAATGATACTTCTAATATCATGTTCACAACATTTATTTGAAGGTACATTTATGGTTTTATATTTTTGATATTTTATAACTTAGTGATGATTTTTTTCAATTATAGAGTTACAATGTGATCAAACATATAAAGTATTTCTATTATGATGCACCTGTTTAAAATCCTTCCCAACTGAAGGGAATATTGGTTGCCTAGCAGTTGTCCTCGTAAAAATCTTTTCCCGTGATAATTTTACTTGCTGTCATAGGATGAACGGTAGCAAATTATTTTCGAGGTTATCTGTATGAATCAGGACCCCATGTGCTGACAAGTCATTTATTATATAATTAAGCTCTGTTTTACTTCCAGATAAATGGAAAAATAATGAGGAAAAAATGGCGTCAAAGATCTCGCATTTTCTCGATAACGACGTCAACGTCAAGAAGCCCCATTTTTGCATTTCACTATTGATTATTGCATTTAATTGCTTTATGAGAGAAAAAGAGTCTTAATACTGCAAAATTTTAAGAAATATTTGACCAAATTAATAAATGTTACCATTGTATTAAAGGGACTCCACTGAGGTTTATTGACATGATGTGATGAAAATATTTTTTCCAGGTAAATGGATATAGTATTTCAGACAAGTCAAAGACATGTATACAAGTGTAAACATATCAAATGTGTCTGGTCGGTAGTGTTATTTAAAAAGTTTCTGTTATTGACAAACATATTTGCTCCAGTCGTAGATGAACCCAATGCTTCAATCCCGCAATTTGTTTGCCTAGTTGTTGATCCAAAACCAAATCCGCCGAATCGGCCTACTTGGGTTAGTTTCTGTTGACGACGAGCGGCCACTATTTTGATAAACGTATTTGCAATTAGGCGACAACTTGTAATGTTCTCTCAAAGCGTTGTCTGATCTTACCACGGCGCTCAATTTTACGTGACACCTGAAACACTCGCACATGTCTGATTTTCCGCTGTAATACAATACACTTGCCAGCTCGTATTTATTTGGGTACATCTGTTTAGGATAGGTTTCGAACGTCTTTAGTCTGTTCTTGTTATACTCCATGCTTCGGTCAAAGGATCTGCTGTCAGTGGCGCTCATTTTGCTTATACTGTAGCTTCGAACGGCATTCATTTATATACGTGCTGTTCGATTTCTGATCGAACGTTATTTTTAGAATGACGTTATCTTTCTTATTTATGCAACCAAAGTCTCCGCTGATTGGTCAATTTCTGCTGGCATTTTACAATTTAAAATTTCCTTATTCATTCTACTTTAAAACTATGTGACTTACAAATCAGAAAAAAAATATCTTTTGAAACTGATCAAAATTTGAAAACCAGTATCGTTTAATCATGCGGATTAATTACGTCACTAACTTACTTTTATACAATTTACTTTACCACTATTTTAATATCAAATTTTTCTTATCACAGTCATAACCGAAATTTATCTTCAAATAAAATAAAAGAAAATAAACAAAATCATAAAAAATAATAAATTAATTGACATTAGATAATATCAATGACAAAATCATGCCACTTACAATTTAAAAATAAATGCAATTATTCTAGAAAAAAATCATTCATAAGGTAAAGTAAAAAAAGTCTATTTTTTAACTTTTTATACGCCCACAAAGTGGGAGAATATAGCGTTGTACTTGTCCGTCCGTCCGTACGTCTGTCTGTCCGTCCGTCCTTCCGTCCGTCTGTCCCGAAATCTTGTGAACGCAACTCCTCTTAAACCGGATGGCAGATTTTGCTGAAAATCCAGGGATGAACAACATTAATGTGTAGATGGTTGTAAAGGAAGGAATTTTTGCTGCGACCAAATTTAACAGAATTATGGCCCTTTGTTGATTTATTCACTATATACCATGTAGAAATTTTGTGAACGCAACTCCTCTTAAACCGGATGGCAGATTTTGCTTAAACTTTCAGGGATGAACAACCTTAAGGTGTAGATAGTATTTAGGGAAGGAATTTTGGCTGCGACCAAATTTAATAGAATTATGGCCCTTTGTTGATTTATTCACTATATACCATGTAGAAATTTTGTGAACGCAACTCCTCTTAAACCGGATGGCAGATTTTGCTGAAAATCCAGGGATGAACAACATTAATGTGTAGATGGTTGTAAAGGAAGGAATTTTTGCTGCCACCAAATTTAACAGAATTATGGCCCTTTGTTGATTTATTCACTATATACCATGTAGAAATTTTGTGAACGCAACTCCTCTTAAACCGGATGGCAGATTTTGCTTAAACTTCCAGGGATGAACAACCTTAATGTGTAGATAGTATTTAGGGAAGGAATTTTTGCTGCGACAAAATTTAATAGAATTATGGCCCTTTGTTGATTTTTTCACTATATACCATCTTGAAATTTTGTGAACGCAACTCCTCTTAAACCGGATGGCATATGTTGCTTAAACTTCCAGGGATGAACAACCTTAATGTGTAGATGGTAGTAAAGGAAAGAATTTTTGCTGCGACCAAGTTTAACAGAATTATGGCCCTTTGTTGATTTTTTCACTATATACCATATATATGTTGTCAGTGGGGGCATCCGTGTCCTTTGGACACAGTTCTAGTTTTTCGTTGTTGTTGATGTTTATTAGTCTTCATATATTCATTCATCGTTTTGCTATCTATTTCTCACTCATTGCAGTAATGTTTATTCAAGCGTATGGTCTATGTATACAACAGCATTATCATTATACCTAATCAGAATATCTTTTAATCTTTTTATTCTGTAAAATACATCAAAAATATATTTGTATATCATGACTATATTAGCTTCAAAAATATATTTGAGAATGATCAAAACTACATATTCTTTCGATTGGACATAATTATAACGTTTATATTCTTCGACTTTTAAAGGGACTCCACTAAGGTTTAAAAGCCTAAAACATAACATTTGAATGTCTTACATAAATGAGCTGGGGCACTTTATACTTTGAAATTAATTTAAAATAATATCTTTCTCTTTTCTTAGCCCGATATGAGTGAAAAGTAGTTAAACGCTTTTCATTATGGGTCATTCTCTAGTCTAGTACTGGTGTAACACTCCAGGAACGATGGTTAGGAAACTTCCCGCCTATATGACTGAAATACTGTTGGGTAAAGGCGTAAAATGAAACAAACAAACAAACTCTGCACACATCCTGATCTTATAATACGATTCAATTCAATTTCAAGTAGTTTGATATCATACGCAATTATTATCAATAGTTTTACATCGATTAATTCCTCAAATTACAATACCCCATTCATATATATTAAATCCTGTTTATTGTAATGCACATTTAATACTATAATCTGACTTTAGTAACGATTACCATATCCACTTCGTTAAATTCCGCGCACTCCCTGGTGTTATAATGCGATTAAGGATAAAGCTCGAATTCGCTATTCCTTTCCTTATCTGTTTACATCAATATTGACAAATAGGGGTGTCGATAATTGTTATATTACTCTTTTCTTCATTTATTTAGTTTTATATGAAAATTAAGTTTATGTAGCATCGAATTCATTTTATCAATTTATCTATTAAAATCAAGTCATAACCAAATTTTAAATCAATACTTTAAATTACCAGACAATAGAACAGAATAAAACGGACTTGAATGACTACAACATTTTTACTGATATCAGTAACAAATTAAGATTTAGATTCTTTAAGAGGATGTTAATAGTTATTTATTATGTAATTTGGTATAAATCAGTATTTTACTTTTTACCGCATCGTAATCTATTCAAAAGTTTGATTCTTTAAAAGAACCCGTATTTAAAATTTCAAATGTGACCAATAATTTCTTCAAATTAGACATAATTAAAACTTTTATATATTTGCTACAATATATCGCGTATAAATATTTTCTCATCGAAAATTGTAGTAGTTCAGTATTGTTATTTATACCTTATAAGAATCTATTTAACAGGGATATCACTATTCTGTATAACAAAGAACATTAATATCAAATTTGACCAAACGTTCATCCATATTTATTCTTCTTATTAGCTTATTAGTATAACGCATTCATTTTATTCAAATGTGACCTAATGCTGACGGGTTTTTATATAAATTTGCCGGTACAAGAATTATATTTTATTTTCTTCTTAAAGGAATCATTATCTATACTTTTAATCAACATTCCTAAATAACCCCCTTTGTCATTTTTAAAATGCATGTTTAATATAAATAATCTAACTAACAATACACCTTTGTTTGTATTTTTATTCCCTTTGTTATAAAACGCGTCTTATACAAGTAAGACCAATTATATAATACACACTACCTAATTACGTATCTAATCAACAATATATTGCGTAATGCCATTCAAACTAGAACGCGCATACGCAGTAAGTGGTCCTAAAGTGTTCCATATACTACTTACAGTAATTATAAGTATATGGTATAAGTAAGATGAAACGGATCGGCAAAAACGACCGGGGTGAACTATTTGAATTATATACAAATTAGGAGCAGCGGTTGCTAACGCTCCCGTGCACTTAATTTGTATATTATACTTATATATGAACTACAACCTATACGTCTTAATTATATTTTCTTGAATATCGTGATTGTTCCTATTGAACTCATAAGTCTAGCCTATCCTTGAAGTTATCTTATACACGATGAAAATTGTAATTTCAGGGTATTCCAGATCACGACAACAAGATCTTCATTATAGCTGCACTGTTAAGCAGTACCCTTGTTTACAATGTAATGACAGCATTCAACCAGGATACAGTCGAAAAATTAACGTATCCTTTTTTGTTAATTGACATCTTTGTATGAATAGCTCGTCATTTATTGTAAACTACTTTTTTCATTATCTGGAATATTCTTTATATTATAAATATTATTAACAAGTAATGTATATTGCATCTTAACCTTATCTATCACTTCATTTTAGATACTTCAAGATATTTTATATCTGTTAAAAGAGAATAATTATGTTTCCAAAGACCTTTCCATGTTTAAAGTCATCAGATTCTAATTTCAGTGTCATAATAGAGTGATCTGATTGGAAACGTGCCTCAATTAGTATAATGCTTCACAAATTGTTGCATAGCTTCAGATTAAAAACTATCAACCAGTCAACCAGACTCATAAATACACTTAGTTATTGTATTTCTTGTATTATATGAATTGTAATTAATTGTTATTAATATTTTGTACTCAATACTACATTGTACTTCCAAATAGAAAAGCGACTTCTCTGGACTTGGATGTTCTATAGCTAAAATTAGAAAACGTAATACTTCTATTCGCTTTTTCATACCATTTAATCCTCTTCAGTCCAGAGATAATATTCGTCCCATAAAACCACATTTAAAAGGCACCACTGTAATTTTATATTATGACAACGGAATTTTTTTCAAACTATGATAAAAAGTTGACATGTTTTTGTGTCACATGTTCTTAGTTACTAAAATCTACAAACTCACTCTTTTGATAATAATATCTTTAATAAATCTGATTCCTTCATTATAAAAACTTTGAATATGAAAGCGTCTTTTTTCCTGCTACCAAGTTATAATAATGGCATGTGTAACACTTGTTCTATACTATCTCTACAAAGTTTATCTGTGAAAATTATATAAGCTTTTATAACACCTATACTACAGGAATTTTTAATTTTATAAATTGTCAGTTTACAGAACAACTTACCAGGACACTTTATAAATTTAAATAAAGCTGTCACTAGCTTTAGACATTTACTGTTGCTATTATAAACCAATTTACCTTCATAGAATGTATAGAACTGTCAATATTAATCATATTTAGACCACCCTTCTTTTATGTTATGTTAATTACTGATCTTTACTTTACCTTTCTTTATAAAATTATAAAATAGGTCATGAAGTGTTTTCAAAAATACAAAACTGAATTAGGCGTTGGTAAACTTATAAAACAATGTGTAAATAAAGGAAGGTTTTTCCTATCAGTGTATCACTTTGTTTCCAGATTTTTATACTTCACAACAGCCGGTGTCAAGTGCTTTATGCCAGCTGTAAAAAGTTGCCCCATACTTCACTTCAGTGTTGTTATATTCTTCTGGTCCTTCGGGATCATTGATGCCAGCACTATTAAGTGTTGAGAATTGAGTACCGCTCAAGCCTTTGCTGGGGGCGGGGGGGTTGGGTCGTGAGGGATGTTGCGTTTGTTCGTTGCCCCTCATGTGCGAACTCAATCAAATCGAGTCTGCAATTTTCACGTAATTTTGTTGTGATTAGTGCTTCCAAGGGATCACTTTGTTTCGAGGTTTTTATACTTCAATACTTCACAACAGCAGGTGTCAAGTGTTTTGTGCCAGCTGTAAAAAGTTGCCCCGTAATTTACTTCAGTGTTGTTATATTCTTCTTGTTCTTGGTGATCATTGATGCCAGCACTATTAAGTGTTGAGAATTGAGTACCGCTCAAGCCTTTGCTGGGGGCGTGAGGGATGTTGCGCTTGTTCGTTGCCCCTCATGTGCGGACTCAATCAAACAAACAAGAATAAAGATCAACAAGGCAAAGGCAACGTTCACAGGACAAGGCACCCCGACACACCCAAGTAAGGCACCCAGAAGGCACCAAACAAACACCTGGAGTGGAAACAAGGGCGAAAGGACTGGGACATGTAATGTGAAATAATATAAACAAAAACGAAGCCATAAAGGAATTAAAGGGATAAGTAAGGGTAAAAAGGTGGGGGAGGGGGGTCAAAATGGGAGAGGGGGATTTAGAAAATACCTACCGTCAACGACAATCCAACAAGACAGACATCACAAAACATTTACACATCTATAACAATTAACAACACAGACATGCAAACCGAGACTGCAATTTTCACGTTATTTTGTTGTGTAAGTGTTTCCGAGCGATCAGTTTGTTTCCAAATTTTTATACTTTACAATAACCGGTGTCAAGTGCTGTGTGGCAGCTGTAAAAAGTTGCCCCGTACTTCCCTTCAGTGTTGTTATATTTTTCGAGTTCTTCGGGATCATTTATGCCAGCACTAATAAGTGTTTAGAATTGAGTACTGCTCAAGCCGGTGCTAGGGGCGTGAGGGATGTTGCGCTTGTTCGTTGTCCCTCATGTGCGGACGCAATCAAACCGAGACTGCAATTTTAACGTTATTTTGTTGTGATAAGTGCTTCCGAGGGATCACTATGTTTCCAGATTTTTGTTCTTTTTCCAGTGTCCTATACTATTTTTCACTTCCTTAAGTCTTTTCATTAAAATTTAAATCTATCATTTTCAATTTGTCTTGCTATATTTTGTACTGTACCGAATAGAGGCTTTCCAAATAACTTTAGTTTTGTCAAAATTTACTTTAATCCCAAAAATCTAGGGAAAACATATTCAATTGAATAATTTTAAAAACAGCATTAACAGACGTTTCTTATCAATCTAGCAAAATTGAATTATAATGAGCAAATTGTGTAATTATATAGTTCTTCTCCAACTATTTTTATACCGTTAACATCTTTATATTATCTTATTTTTATTGCAAAAAATTTTGCACATAAAATGTAGATATAAAGGGAATGGGAACGCCTTGTCTACAACCTCGTTTAACTTAAAAATGATAAAACACCATTTAAAATAACACAAGTTTCAGAATTATATAAAAATAAAGATATCCATTTTTAAACATGGGAAAAGATGTAGACATTTCTCTATAAAGGTTAAAGATAAAGTATCAAAATCTTTTTCAAACTCAATCATTACTAATAATTGAGTATTCTTACCAATATATCTATTCTTTACAAATCCTGTCTGATCTCTTGAAACAAAAATATCTAAAAACAAAATCAATTTCCTATGACACCTGAAGCTAATGTTTTTATAAACTACATTTAATGAAGTTATTAATCTCCAGTTTTTTTATAAACTACTTTGGGTTATTTCTTTTTGAATGTATGTTACTGTTCCGGGCTTTTGATTTCTAGAAAAAGAATTAACAGTATAAAGGAAAATTTAAAGCTTTCACAAACCTTTGACAATTTTAGACTCTTCAATCATATCAACATTTGTATATAAATAATTCATAATAACAATATGTCTGTGTTATTATATCTTTTTGATCAAATTTAAAGAATCCATATTCAAGTTCTAGAAAAGGAATAATTTTATCTGCACAATATGATATGTTTTATCTTAATTATCTTTCAAGATGAATTTCTTCAATAAATTGTTTTTCATAATTATTTCTTTCTTTGTCCTTTTAAGACCTGTAAGTTATAGTTTTACCTCCATTTCCATTAGTGTTTCCAAAAATGGTTCATCATGAATAACAAAATTACATCTTTATTTATAGGATCTAAAACATAATATAATTCATATACAGGTAAACAATATTGTACTTTGATTTCATTTATTTTATCAAGGAATTCAGTGCTATATAAAAAAAAAATTCCATAAACCTTTTCATATATTCGTGACATACAGAAATAAAACAAAAATCTTAATATATTATTGAATGATCAGATTGATACTTAATGTCAATATCACATGTTCGCACATACTTATATAAATTATTTGATATATCAATGTAGTATTTATGTCACCATGCAGTATTCTAAAAGGATAAGTGAGGCCTTTATCTTCAGAAATACTTATTTAGAACTTATTGCCTTTCTATTATTGATTTTTATTTAAAGTTACATTTAATAAATTTCATAAAAACAGAAATAGTGACATTTCATTAATAAATTGGGTTTTATATCGACTCCAGATCTTATTTTGGTGTCCAGACAACCAAAATGAGTTTTATAAGCATAAATAATGGACAACCTCATTGTGGCGAAATCAGAAGTACAATATCTGTTTGCATGAGAAACTCCGCCTTCAGATCATCCGTACATCAATATTCAATCAATAAACATGACTATAAGTAGCAGTCCTCATTTAACGGTATATTTCCGCATTGTAACGGATGTTTTCATTCAAATTTAATCTTTTTTATGAGATGATTTCTTTTTACTGAACCTCAGGCCTAGTGCATCGTGAAGTTAAACAGTTAAAATGTGTTTGCACAAGAATATCTCATATTTGTTATCTTCCGGATAGCAGCTATAACACTGAGACGTAGGGCATACACAAGCTGATTATAATCTTCATTTGCATGTTAAAATTCGTATACGAACTTTAGTGTTACCGTGGGTTTTTCCGTTTAAAATCCTTATTTATGAACAATATTTGTTGAGATTTACAACAAGACTGTTAAAAAGGTTAATGAATCTGTAGAGTGCTTGGTTTTTAGGCCGACGGTAAAAATATTTTTACATATTTATTTAATGTAGCTTTAAACTTAAATTGGAAACTACTGAAGAAAGAGAGTCTATCAAAACTGTCTTTATAAATTTGGATATACACCAATATGTGTAATAAAGAGAAATGATATTTAATGTTAATACTAATGAATAAATATTCTATAACTACTATCATCATGTTGCTGCAGTATAAAATGATGTGTTAACTTTTGATTTCCTGAACTTATGTAGATTCATCACAAATATGTCTGAAAACTTGAGAGTTTCAGTCGGGGACACTTCGGATGATAATTTCGACTTTGTAATGCCCGATTTTGTCTTGTGCATACGTGATTTCACGCTTGATCTTGAGATAGACGGGAGAGAGATAACGTCAGATCAATATCTTGAGCATTGTCTTACAGCGAAAAGTACTGGAAATAAAGTGTTAGATGAAAAATACAACCGACCCAGGCATTGTATTAAGAAGTATTTTACAAAGAGGAAAGCGTTTACATTTGATAGACCAGCTAACAAGAAGATAATGAAAACACTTGACAAGGCTAAAAAAGAAGATTTATCTCCTGACTTTATTGAGGAGTCGCAAAACTTTCAAAAATTTATCTATGAACGCACGGGAAAGATGTTGCAAACTAAAAGACCTGTAACCGTTCGCAGTATGTAACGATTGGTTATGATAAGTATCGTTGTTTTTTAATTCCTTTGCCTTTTTATTTATTTCATAAATCACAGTATTAAATAACTATTCGTTATTAGTCCTACAAAAAGCACATAGAACGTTCAATAATACGATGGCCTGCCTTAAAACAGTGCCAATATCTATATCACATTTTCGGCCCCGGGCCCAAAAATGATATAGATATAAAATGTGATAAACAAGATCGACAAGGAAAGGCAACGTTCAATGAACGCAGCCCCCACACGACTCAACAAAAAGAACCAGTGGCAAGGAGCCCGGGCAAACCAAAACCAAAAACAGGCAGGGCACAAGGCAGAGCACGGTCCCGCATTTGAAGTAATTTGATTGTGTAATAAACCAGGGCCAAAAATGATATAGATTCCTGCAAGAAACTTGAAAATGACTGCCATTTTGTTTTAACTCGGTTCATGTATTAAAATAAGAAGGAATATCTGAGGATTAAATGTGAAATATTATAAGAACATGTATTTATTTAATAAAATTGTCAATAAATAATTGATTTGATATTGGCCCTGTTATTTGTCCTCGTGTCAGTCGTATTAACCCTCGGCCTTGGGCTAATACGACGGCTCTCGGACAAATAACAGGGCCAATATCAAATCACATATTTATTAACATATATAATCATCGTGATAACTTTTGCAAATTTGCTGAATAGATGGCTAAGATTATGGTAAAGAAATTGATGTTTTGATGATAATGATAGTGGTGGGGGTGATAAAAAGATGTAGATTGCAATGGTGACTTTGAATGCCTCGTCGTTAATCAAAATGTTGTGGAACCAGTCAATTAATTATTTAACCATTTTGATGGTCATCGTTGTCAGCGTTGTATTAAAAGGAAAGTAATCATGCCTAGCCACAATCGATGTTAAAATAGAAGTTTATACTGTTAGTGGAGGTTATGGTTGTGGTGTTAATGGTAATATTGGTGATGATGATTATTGTTATGATGATGATTGTAATGCAAATTTATTATAATTGATAAAAGCTTTCCATCACAGTTGTAATTTAAGTAAAAAGCTGTGATGATTTTGCATAAAGACCATCTTATTGTGCTTACAGTTGCACTTATCTTGTTTCATTCCTTCCAGTGCTAGTAGAGTTATTGGGCGCCTACATCAAAGCTATAAAGGACGGCAAGGTTCCTTGTATAGATGATGCTCTCACCGTTATGTCAAAAGAAGAAAATAAAAAACATGCAAAGGATGCCATTGACACGTTCCGTGTTGATCTTGAAAAACTACATCTACCAGTTGGGGACAAAACTAAACTTCTGGAAGAAAAGTTTGAAATTCGAACATCAGTTCTCAAGAATTTGACTTCGAAACTTTTGTTTGATGACGATCATTCTGTAGAAATGTCTGTGCAGGTAATTTTATAAATGTCTGAAATCAAAATTACACAGCAATTAATCCTTATTTATAAGGTTAACAGACAGCTGTTAACACACATAAAAAGACCGCGCCGTTGTCGGGATTCGAACTCGTGACCCTGTGCTTACAAGCAAACGTAACTACTAAGAACGACATATGCTACTGAGCCAAAGATACAGTTGTTAGAGGTTGAACATATAGTATTGAAAGGTATCTGCACTCAACAATAACACAATCGTCTTCAGAAAGTCAACATTGATGATGACGTAATGACTTATTTACTTACAGTATTTACGTAAAAATAAACATTTTGGTTAAACATAAAACACATAATTTTTCTATCAGAAACCATTTTGGTTGTTATTCACTTCCCGGACCCAGGAATGACGAACGACCCAAATTTTAAGAAAATTTTAGCTCGACATTTTCCAGAAATAATGTTACATCTTTTGCTGCAGCTATGATATCCGTTGTCGTTGTTGTTGCCGTCGCAAAGTTTCACATTAATCTATTACTTTGTTTTTTATGAATGGATTGTTGTATACATAACACAATAGTCATTTAGACAAGACCTTTATGAAGATCAAATAAATTGATTGTGACCTTTACTCATAAATGATCTCGACCTTGAATACCAAATAAATGCAATTTGCTTTCTTTATATTGGCTATATCTTTCCTATTTATAAATTGATTGTTTTCATCCTTGAACACAACTATCATTAGGACAATGTCTTGAGACCCTAATGGCCACCAATAAGAACCAGGGTGACGTTTTATCAACGGTCTTACGCCCGGTCGTAGAATATTTCGTCTTACCACCGGTTTTAAGCTGAAGTCGCGTTTTATCAATTCGGTCGGGGAAAAGTCTATTACTTTATTTTTGTGTAGATAGTATAAGACAATAAGATAATATAAGCAAATTTAACCATAAAATTTGTTTTCATCTTATTTCTTTTAGCGTCACAGCTTCTCTTTTCATTTTTGCTCAAGTTCAATCATCATAACATATTTAGAGGAATTTCTTAATGAAATAAGTTGTAGGTGTTTTAAATTTTAACCTATACAACTTTAGGTAACAAATGATCATTTCTTTTAACATTTTTTTCGCGCAAAATACACTCCCTATTCACAGGCTCAAGATTGACACATCTTTTCAAACAATTTAAACCAGTGTTCATGTTAAGGATATCCAAGAAAATTTCAATCTAATATTTTTAGGTATATGTTAACAAGTTGTTAAACTATTAAACCCTTTTACCATCTTGATGTTTGTAACAGTTTGAGTTAGAAATATATGGAGCTTCGTTAGGCCAGAGTACATAACTTGAATAATTATTTAATTTATGTACATTTTTATTTCTATTTTTTAAACTCAAAAATACTTTTTTCTTTGCATATATTGGCTGATTTTTTTTTGCAAAAATGTTAACATGGCTAGAAATAAAAATACACGCACAAACGAATCAGTTACCTGGAGCGGAAATTGAACAATAGGCCCCTGCATCGTTAGCAAGCATGTCACCCGTGGAGCAAAGGCTTCTAATCTAGTTATAACGAAAGATTCATTAGAAAACTAATGAAACTAAATTTGACCTGGATTCATAAATGGCATTGACCTTGAAAAACATTTGATTGTAATTTCAATGTTTGTTTTTGTAGCTACTTTTGTTGTGGAGAGTTATTGTTGTATTGTTATTTATTTAGAGATTTAAACCATTGCTGGACAAAGGAATACTTTTGACATAGCCGCCTAGTTGAAAAATTCCAAAATGACAGTGCCTTTAAATAACACTGACCATCAAGGTCAAATTATGAAAATTTGCCTTAATTGTCATAACTATGTCCTTCATGTACGGATTTTATTCATTATTGATTAAAATACCGCTTATGACAAAGATGACATATTCATGAAAATATGACAATAAACTCTGAATGACCGTGACCATTAAGGTCACATTGTTAAATTCAGCTTAAGTTGTCAAAACTTTGTTATTTACTAACAGATTATATTCAGATGTTTCACTTTTGCATTATCCCTCATGTGCAGACAAAACCAAACCAAAGCTGCAATTTATATGTAATATTCTTATGATAAATGCTTTTGAGGGATCTCTATTTCTCCAGATTTTTTTACAATTTTGAAAATTTGAAAAATCACATTGACCTTAAAACAGCATTGACTTTCAAGAATTTTCTTTAACTGCCACTGTTATTTATTCATTCCTTGACAAAATGACACTAATGACATAACTCACATAATGAATGTTTTAGATATGATATCGACACGTAAAAATGCCACATATGGCACAACAGTTGTGTTGAACATTTCACATAAGAGATATACATTAGTTAAAATTTCCTTTTTCATGTATACTATGAAAAAACAAGATGTATTGCAAATCTGACATGTGGTACTATTCAAGTTATACCTTGACCTAAAAGTGAATTTGACCTTCGAGGTCTTGACTGTCAAGATGAAAATGCAATTTTATTTTGTACAATAAAATGATGTTTCCGCAGAGACTTCTTTACAATATCTTAGAAATAGAAAATGTAGAGCGTGACCCTATTGTTACTTTCTAAGATCGTAACAGGGAAGTACAAGTATCAGAAGTATCAGAAAAGATCTTATCTTTCAAAATTCTATTTTATTTAGTTCCGCCCATTGTTTTCTCGTTTAGGGCACACGCATTCTTTTACTTGGGGACCATATGCCTCTTTTCATTTACTTTAACAAAAAGTAGAATTTCTTTTTTACTTATGTTATTTCGTTATAATGTCTGTATTAATTCATATATTTGTAGCTTTCTGAATATACAAAATAATGTCGAAAATACAATGTACTTTTCTAGAGCGAGATGGATAGAATATTCAAGGAGTTTGAGACAAAAAACGACAAACTGCTCTACGAGAAATGTATGAAGCGAATAACAGACTTGTACGAAAAGGAAGTAAAAGGAAACATAGACGGGAAAATATACATGGTATCTGGCGGGTACGATAAGTACAAAAATGATATGCTAAGGGTTAAAGAAATGTATGAAACAGAGTTAGATCACGAAAGGATAGACCGAATGCAGGTATGGGTCAATTAAAGATATTTTATACTTTTTTACAGGATGTTTTTCTTCTGAAATTTCTTTTTGAACACAGCTACCTGAAAACATTAATTTTCCGCTTCCGTTAAAATAACGTTATGAAAATTTTAACGTGACTCGTGGCCCCATACACAAAAAATAAAATAACTTGTGTAAAACTGCAAATTAACACTTGCAGTTCTTCTACGTCAGTAAAGAATTTTTAAGCGAGTTTTTACCAATTTACATGTTGACCCCGCAAAGGTTACAATTCATAGGAATAAAAACTTATAGCTATTTAGATTTGAATAATATGACCAATATGACATCTCTGGCCGTTGTCAAGGTTCTTGCGTAGTATTTCCGTCTAAGGTCATGGCAATTAAACGTGTGACATTTTGATTAAAAGCAATCTCAACGTTTGAATTATTAGACAAAGAAATTTAAAATATGTTTTAATATTGAAAATGAAGATAACGATTTTATTGACACATAATGTTGTTCAGTTATTGTGTATTGATTTGTGTTTGTCACTCATGGTAAAAGCGAACGTTTCCGAAATAATATGGCGACCATCTTTGATTGTCCACCATATTGAATTTTTATTTTTACAGTGAAATTGTTAAAATGATTTTATGGTAAGTTTTTAGTTTAACATGGTTTGTTATTTTGCATTTAAATTCAATAATTCTGTGATATCGTTTATGATAAACTCATGTTTTTTACCATTAGCTTGTAATCTTGCTCATGTTTTGTAGACAAATAAGGCAATGCGTGATTTCTTAGCACAGCGATACGCTGAAAGTGAAGCAATTATGACCGAAGATAAATCCATTTCAGAAGATGAGAAAAATGGTAAATTCCACGTATTTCATGTTTTATTGTTTTGTTTTTTGTTGTTGTTTTTTTTTTTTTTTTTTTCGTTTAAGATAAAGGCATTCTTTTAATTTGGGCAATACACATCTTTTCATGAAATGGCACGAAATGTTACATTGAAAATTCTATGAATGCCGCCAAAAAGAACACATCTGCGAATAACTCTAAATTCAATTTTTTTTTTCTATTTCATGTAAGGATTACATACCCTGATGGTCAGCTTTTCATTACTTTTATTCTTTTCTAGATAGCATTGGACATTTATGTTTATTAAAATTTCACCATCCCATTTCTTTCAAAACTTTTTTTGAATAAGATATATCATGTTTTTAAGGAATGACATCTATCAAAATCATTTAATATATGTATTTAGAATATCATCTAATTTTATATGAAATTGAACAATTTAATTTTGATTGTAAGTGAACGTCGTAAACGTTCGTAAAAATCGTTGTGAATAAGTATTTTAAAAAGAAATGTTAATAAAAAGGAACCAACTATGATTAGGGCAGGATAGGATAGGATGGGATGGGATGGGATATGGTCAATAATTTTTACATATCAATATATTTAATTTTTGGTTTTAAAATAGCTGAAATGGAAACCCAAAAGAAAAAGCTAGAAGCAGAATTTAAAGAAACACAAGAGAAAGAGAGTAAACGTTTTGCCGACGAACTAGAAAAACAAAGAAAACAACATGATGATGTAATAGCCAAAGCACGAAAAGATCAAGAAGATAAAGACGAAGCAAACAGAGCACAATTCCTTGAAGAGAAACTGGCTAAAAGAGACACTGAAATTCTTGAACTGACCAAATCTGTTGCAAGACTTGAAGGGCGTGAAGATGAAAGAAATAAAAAGCAATGCTCAGTATCGTAAATTCATTCGCTTAATGTAGATTGTAGACTTTATCTTGAACATGCTTTTAAGATTTTCCTTCTAAGTGGTGAATTTCGATTTTTGTCAATTTTTGTGAAAAGTTTTTAAATGCATTGTTCTTGTTTAATGAAAACTAGTGGTTTACCTATATAACTTATCTAGTTATATTGCTTATACCGTAAAGGCATATTGCAGGAAGAACTTCAGCATTTTAAACTTTATATTTGCTTGATTTTTGGTGAATACGTTATACATGTATTTTTGAACTCATTAATTGTTTATTATCAATCCCCCTTTGAAGAAGAGGGGGTTTATTGTTTTGCTGTCTGTCGATCGGTCGGTATGTCTGTCTGTCCGTTGGTAGACCACATGGTTTTCGCTGATTATCTTAAAAACTATTTATTACAAAGTTTTCACATCTCACATACCGATTTGTCATAACAAGTAGATGACCCTTGTTGATTTTTGGATCACTGGGTCAAAGGTCAAGGTCACAAGGGCCTTAATGTTTGAATGGTTTCCGCTGATTGTCTTGAAAACTATGGATCAGGCACAAAGTCTTCATATTTCACGTACTGATTGCTAATAACTAGAAAATGACCCCTATTGATTTTCAAGTCACTAGGTCAAAGGTCAAGGTCACAAGGGTCGTAAATGTCAAAATGTTTTTTCCGCTGATTATCTTTCACATATTGATTGGTCATATTTAATTGATAACCACTTTTGATTTTGGGTTCACTAGAGCAAAGGTCAAGTCAAGGGGGGTGTAATTGTCAGAATGGTTTCCGTTGATTATCTTGAAAACAATTTATAACAAAGTCTTCATATTTCACATGCGGACTGGTCATATCTAGTAGATGACCCCTATTTTGGGTCAAAAGTCAAGGTCACAGGGGCCTTCAATGTCTTTATAGTTTCCGCTCATTATCTTGAAAACTATTTATCACAAAGTCTTCATATTTCACATACTGATTGGTCATAATTAATTAATAACCACTTTTAATTTTGGGGTCACTAGAGCAAAGGTCAAGTCAGGGGGGGGGGCGTTATTGTCAGAATGGTTTCCGTTGATTATCTTGAAAACAATTTATAACAAATACTTCATATTTCACATGCGGATTGGTCATATCTAGTAGATGACCCCTTTTGGGGGTCAAAATTAAGGTCACAGTGGCCTTCAATGTCTTCATGGTTTCCGCTCATTATCTTGAAAACTATTTATCACAAAGTCTTCATATTTCACATTATGATTGGTAATAATTTGTTAATGACCCTTATTGATGTTGGGGTCACTAGATCAAAGGACAACCTCAAAGGGGCCTTAAATGTCAGACTGGTTTCCGCCCATTATCTTGCAAACTGTTTATCACAAAGTCTTCATAATTCACATACTGATTGTTCATATCTAGAAGATGACCCCTATTGCGTTTAAGGTCACAAGGTGAACTGTCAAGGTCACAGGGGCCTTAATTATCAGAAAAGTTTCCGCTGATTATCATAAAATTATTTATCACATAGTCTTCATATTTCACATACTGATTGGTCATAATTAGTAGATGACTCCTATAGATTTTGGCGTTACTAGGTCAAAGGTCAAGACCACAGGATCCTTAATATCACTATTGTTTCCTCTCATTATCTTGAACGCGTTATTTTCACAAAGTCTTTATATGTCACACACTGATTATTCATATCTAGAAAATAACCCCTATTGATTTTGAGGTCACTAGGTCAAAGGTCAAGGTCACAGGGGCCTTAAATGTCAGAATGTTTCCACTCATTATCTTGAAAATTATTTATCATTAAGTTTTGATATCTCACATACTGATTGGTCATAACTAGTAGATGACTCCTTTTATTTTGAGGTCACAAGGTCACAAGGTTAAGGTTACGGGGGGGGCTTTAATGTCACTATGGTTTCTGCTCAATATCTTGAAATTTATTTATCACAAAGTATTTATATGTCACGTACTGATTGGTAATAACTAGTAGATGACCCCTATTGATTTTGGGGTCATTAGGCCAAAGGTCAAGGTAACGGGGGCTTAAAATGTCAGAATGGTTTCAATTGATTATCTTGAAAACCATTAATCACAAAAACTTTTTATTTCACATACTGAATAGATATATGTAGAAGATGACCACTATTGACTTTTAGTTCAAAGTCAAGGTCAAGGGCCTTAAATGTAAGAATGGTTTCCGCTTATTACCTTAAACACTTTTTGTCACTTCACATATTGATATGTCATAATGGGGTCATAAGTTAAAAGGTCAAGGTCTTTATATTTCACTATATTTTGCATATTGATTGGTTATAACTAATAGCATCTTTTTTCTTTTTTCCATAACTGAACACTTCCAAGTGCCCATTTATGACAAGTTTCTATAACAAAATTACAAATAATATGAGTCAAGGGATAAAAATGGGGGCATATGTGTCGTACAACATTTCTTGTGTACAAATTCAATCAGTGCTTTCGTTATACTAAATAAGAATAAAAATACATAACATAACAATTTAGAGCTTTTATCTAAGACATCAATAAAACCTTGTTTTTATTTGCCTTATATTTGTTGAATAGTATGGAAACAGAGAATGGCTGTCCAAATGTTTTGCATATAAGATCCATTATAAAAAATTATAAAGTACAATTCGCATATTTTAGAAAACAAACATTCAGTATTGAAATATGTTACCACACGCCAAATTTTACGCAGAATCCGTCATTACTATAATTTTAGCTTTATTTTTTTTTTTTTTTTTTTTGAAAATAGCCATTTTACATTTAACCAAACGGCGAACGTCAACATGTTGACAGGTTTCGCCGTGTTTGTTTTTTCTTGTTTCTTTTTTTCAACGTCTAATTGATAATCATGACGATTGAAATTGTTTTCTGGTGTGTTCATTCCTTTATTTATATGCTCTGACATATGATTTACTTAACCGGATGCAAAGCAAAATTATAAGCGAAAAGGCGTAAATTGGTTCACGATCAACACAATATGATAAAATTATGCGTGTTTCTTAAAACTTCATCAAATGAGACGATTATAATGAAAAAGGAGAACAGTTAAGTACGTTGTGAATGTGTTTACGGTTTGCAAATAGCACAAGCATATTTTTCTTTCTAATTGGATGGGCATTTTACTTGCGAAAAGACAAACTTTAATTCACAGCGGCATTGCGACTTCAGTTAAATAAAAACTAAAATTTGTCAGAAAGTGTGTTTCGTATCAGACAAATTAGGGCTTACAATTTACAGTTGTGTAACACAGAAAATTGACAAACATATGAATGAAAACAATTCCGACGCTCTTGGTGTCTCAGGTATTGATCAAAAACGAAATGCCCAAATGTCGAGCGGAATCTATGAAATCACGTTGACTTTGAAATGACCTCTTGACTTACGCCGCTACCGCTACCGCATAGTTAAAAATGTCAGTATTCTGATCGGATAAAATGTACGGAACTTTGCATATTAGGCTCTGTACTGTGGATTGACTGCTTTTTATCTTTATTTTCTTAAAAAAACTACCGGACATTTAAATTACAGAAATTTGAGAAATTCAGCTGGCTGAGGGTTTAGATCAACAAATGTTATGTCACTGATATTCTCCTTTATTGTCAGACACATTAAAATTTTATCACTATGTACGCATTTGACGAATACGAACTATTCAAATAATTTGTCTTAAAAGGTGACACATCTGATCCGTGTTTCAGACAAAATAAGAATATCAATTTTTTCTTTGAGTAATTTATGACAAAACGTAACTGAACTTTCTAACATACTACAATTGTGTAAATATGATGTACGCAACTTATTGTAAAAGGTTATAGACAATAAAATATTTAGCACAAAGGAAGTCTTTTTTTCTCAATGTCCCATAGTCTATTTTATTGTCGAATTCATATTTGATAGAATAAAGTTACATTCTTCAAGTATGTAAAAAAGTACTTTATTATCAGAAAAAAATGCTTTTCTGATATATTCTTCACAGACATGATTAAAGTAGTACATGTACAGTTAACTTTGCTTATAGTGAACTCACCAGGACTTTCATAGTGTGTTCTTTCAAGAGTTCATTGTAAGTATATAACAATTTAGTTCCTTATATCACGACAGAAGCAAAACTTTTATAACGAACAAAATGTTAACCAAAAATTAAATATATACATGTACATTTTTTAGCTCACCAGAGCCGAAGGCTCAGGGTGAGCTATTAGTATCAAAGGGGGATGCTCCGGCGTCCATCGTCCGTCGTCCGTCGTCATGCGTCAACAATCGTCTTCTCCTCTGAAACTACTGGGCAGATTTACTTCAAATTTGGTCTGTAGCATCCTTGTGACAATCACACTTGAATTTGCTCATGTCATTCCAATTGGCCCCTTTTAGGGGTCAGCAAAGCTAAATATAGAAAAACCTTAAAACATCTTCTTCCACAGAAGTAATTGATGGATGATCACCAAACTTTGTCTGTAGCATTCTTGGGTAGTCTTTTATCAAGTTTGCTCATATTAATTTGATTGGCCCCTTTTAGGGGACTCTATGGCTAAAAATAGAAATACCTTTAAACATCTTATTCTACAGAACTAATAGATGGATGATCACCAAACTTTGTCTGTAGCATTCTTGGGTAGTCTTTTATCAAGTTTGCTCATATTAATTTGATTGGCCCCTTTTAGGGGACTCTATGGCTAAAAATAGAAATACCTTTAAACATCTTATTCTACAGAACTAATAGATGGATGATCACCAAACTTTGTCTGTAGCATTCTTGGGTAGTCTTTTATCAAGTTTGCTCATATTAATTTGATTGACCTCTTTTAGGGGACTCTATGGCTAAAAATAGAAATACCTTTAAACATCTTCTTCTATAGAACTAATAGATGGATGATCACCAAACTTTGTCTGTAGCATTTTTGGGTAGTGTTTTATCAAGTTTGCTCACATGAATTTGATTGGCCCCTTTTAGGGGCCGCTAAAGCTTAAAATAGAAAAACCTTAAAACGTCTATTTCTACAGAACTAGTAGATGGATGATCACCAAACTTTGTCTGTAGCATTTTTGGGTAGTGTTTTATCAAGTTTGCTCATATGAATTTGATTGGCTCCTTTTAGGGGCCGCTAAAGCTTAAAATAGAAAAACCTTAAAACGTCTATTTCTACAGAACTAATTGATGGATAATCACCAAACTTTGTCTGTAGCATCTTAGGTAGTCTTTTATCAAGTTTGCTAATATTATTTTGATTGGCACCTTTTAGGGGTGTCTAGGGCTAAAAATAGAAAAACCTTTAAACATCTTCTCCTAGAGAACTAATTGATGGATGATCACCAAACTTTGTCTGTAGCATTCTTGGGTAGTGTTTTATCAAGTTTGTTCATATTATTTTGATTGGCCCCTTTTAGGGGTCTCTAGGGCTAAAAATAGAAATATCTTTAAATGTCTATTTCTAGAGAACTAATTGATGGATGATCACCAAACTTTGTCTGCAACATATTTGGGTAGTCTTTTATCAAGTTTGCTAACATTATTTTGATTAGCCCCTTTTAGGGGCCGCAAAAGCTAAAAATAGAAATATCTTTAAATGTCTATTTCTACAGAACTAATTGATGGATGAATTTGCTCCTTACCACGGAGGAGGAAGTGTTACATAAGGGATGGAGTTCTTATGAAAACTTGTCAAGGAGTCTTGTGATAACTGTCACGGAGTTCGTCAGAAAACTATTGTATATACTGTACAAACACTCAAAAATGTTTATTTTTGTTTTTAAAAAGTGCGTTTAAGGTGCTAAATTAATCTATAATGATTCAGCTTGCCTTACATATTGCATTTTGTGTCAAAATTTAATTCATAGACCATTTTTTATCGCCTCTTGCTTAAAATCTGGTAGTTTTGAGTAAAATTTCCTAATTATTTGCCATTCGCAAGTATTGCCCTGTTTATTTCTAGTCTTCATCCTTGCCATATATAAGTACCTAATTTTTATTGCAAAATTGCAAATATAAAATCCCGGCTTACAAATTTATACCCGATTTTTCAAATGTCCCGGAGTTCTTGTGATAACCCAAAATCTGTCCCGGAGTTCTTATGATAACTTTTGTCACTGCTTTTGTGTTTCTTTTCTTAAATCACGGCACGTTTTAGTGGTTTTTTTTATTATTCAGTTAGGTTGTTCATCATTATTAAATGAAGTACGTTCATTTTTTGCACAAAAATGAGGATATATAATGTTGGTTTTAAGTGTGTTTTAGTTAAAGAGATATTACTGAGGTATCTTATCCCCTTTTCTTTTTTATGGTATTTTTGCTGTCACAAATTTCGTAGACTGGAAAAAGGATTGATGTAGAGCATTGTCTTTCATGATAAAATGCGCTCAAGTATGGTGTCTTTGTATATATCTGTATATTTTCTGCCGGTATTTGATGGGTATTCCCCCTATGTAATCTTAGTGGATGAAACTCTGTTAATTTTGCTGTAATTGATAACAAAAATATATTTTATTCAAACTTATTTCGTTTGAACCCGGGGGGGGGGGGGACTTCAAATTTGTTCGACAGATCGGTAGTTATATAGCCAACTGCAGTTGTGTTTTAATCATATTGTCGTACTTTCTGGAAACATAAGTTTGAAGAAATTATCCAGGATTTATACATGTACTTCTTTATTATGGTTTAAAATGATACAAATTACTTAGCACCTAGATAAGCGATGCACAAAGTATATATTATCTGCTTAAGAAAGATGGTTGAGAACAACATGTAAGTTTTGAGACATTTTGTTGTTGTTGTTAAGGCCGTCATACTGCCGCTAATTCAATCTTCACTGTAGATGATAGCCTGTTTATCCTATGCAGACACTCGACCAAGACAAACAATATATCCTCATTTTTCTGCAAAGGATAAACGTAATATATTTCATAAGTATTTACAACCTTATTGAATAGTAAAAACGCTAAAACGTGCCGTGATTTAGCGCAAGAAACACATTGGCAGTGACAAAAGTTATCATAAGAACTCCAGGACATATTTTGAGGTATCACAAGAACTCCGGGACATTTGAAACATTGGGTATAAATTTGTTAGCCGGGGCTTTATATTTGCAATTTTGAATTATAATTAAGTAATTATGTATGGCTAGGATGAAGACTTGAAATAAAACAGGTCAATATACTTGCGAATTGGCAAATAATTTGAAAATTTTACTCAAATCTACCAGATTTTAAGCAAGAGGCGATAAAAATGACTATGAATTAGTTTCTGATTCATAATACAATATGTAAGGTGAGCTTAATAATTAAAGTTTAATTTACCACCTAAAACTTACTTTTTAAGGATGAAAAATACCATTTTTGACGAATGTTTTGCAGTATATACAATAGTTTTCCGACGAACTCCTTGACAAGTTATCATAAGCACACTTCCTCACCCGTGCTTACTATAATTACAGTATAAGATAAGAAAATCTTCTGCGCATCAAATTTCTTTGACGGGTATTCGAGCTAAAATATTTTTTTGTACTGTTAGACGCGCAGTAATATTAGCTGGAACATGGAGTGTATTAAATTAAAATTAAAATTCTATGCTCTGTAGGGTCTTCTAACAAACGAGGACTTTAATGGGTACAATTTTGGTACTACTGTACGCGCAGCAGTATTATCATTAAAATGACCCATCTTAAAATTGAAGAAATTGAAGTTATATCAACATAAAGCAAGGTTTACACCGAAATAACGGGTGCCGTCATTATCTGTGACTATTGCCTAAACCATAGACCACATTATTATACACGTTTACGAATTCATATTGAAGAAGATGCAAAGTCATTATACCAACCATACTTTTCATGCATGTCAATGAAAACAAATGTAAAAATACAGAATTTGTATATTGTTTGCCCTCAAAAGAAAAAAATTAAGACATTGTCACAGTCATGTCGTTGCCGTTGCAGTCCACAAACTTTAACATTGGCCATAATATTTTATTTCTGAATAAATTGTCTTCATACTTAGACCTTATAACCCTTTGGACAAGACTGAATGAATTTGAACTTGACTCATTTATGACATTGACCTACAAGCTCAAATATTGAATTTTGCTTGATCTTTGCTATAATTGACTCTAATGTTGTTATTTATAAATGAATTATTTTCCTACTTGGATACAACAAATCTTTTGACAAGCCATTCAAGTAGATTAAATTTATTATTACATTCTCTGATAAATGACCTTGACCTAGAAATGTAACATTACTTAACTTGCTTATTTTTTATTGTATTGGCTCTTGGCTATAATTTTGATAATGATAAATTAATTGTTCTTACACTTGAGGACATCAATCTTAAAGATAATGTCATGAAAAAGATCAAACTCAATTTGACCCTTACTCAATAATGACCATGACTTTGAAGGTCAGATATTGCTATGTCATATGTTATGCTATAATTGGCAATAATGCTGTACGTTATGAAATATCTTAGAACGTTGGCAGATAAGACATTAAAGAAAACTTTAATGAACATAGCATTGATTTTGGACACTAAAGGTCAAATTACTAAATTTTATTACAGTTCGTCATAATTTTCCTATTTATTTATATTTGGACAAAAAAACCACTTATAACACAATTTACATGTTTGAGAAATAAAATATGACATTGCAAAAAAGAACTCATATGACAAAACCTACATGTTGAATTATTGCGATAGTGTTTACCATGAATTGACCTAAAGCGTCAAGGGCAAGTTATTGAATTTGCTAAAACTGTCATTTCTTTCTTATCTTTATACAGATTTGATTTATACATATATTTATATACATGGCTGAACGGATATGCTGAAATTTGTCAAATAGGTCAAATTATT